AAACCAACACTTGCGGCGGATGTTACGGGGGGCGGTGGTTTAACAAAGGTCTGTGGGGAAACCAATTCCGTCACACTTTTTATCCCCAAATTGCATTTTAAACAAAAAACCAGCCGTTCCTGCCAAAAAAACCTACTTTGATAACCAAACCCCCCCCCCCCCTCAAAAAAAAAAATCACGCCCCCCCCAAAAAAACCAGTCCAGTCCAGAGTCCAGTCCCAGTTTTCCATCTGGCCGTCAATGATCATGATGAACTTGACCCCAGGCCACTAAATGCTGCCAGCATGCGGTCTTCCGCTCCTCTTACAAATACACGAGCGCGCGTGAAAATCGCCACTCACACGCGAGTTTTTTCTCTTCCGTCCGCGTGTTTGCCCTAGCAAACCAACGCTCGTATTTTTCGTAGTTTTTTTTTTTAAATACAAAATGCAGAAATGATGCTTGCATGTTTTCCCGTCAAATTTAAGTAACTATGCAACATATTCTTAATTACTAAGAACAAATAAATGACATCAAACACCTGTAGTCAAGCAACAAATTTATTCCGTTTAGAACCAAAAAGTGCGAAAGCAAAGTCAGCTTTTTTTCCTATTTACTAATTGTTCTTTTTTTTTTTAAAGTAAACCTTTAAGAACCTAAACATCTAATGTTATTGAAACGAGAAAAATTGTCTCGACGGGAAAACGAATCGTACCTCACATGTTATGTAACGCCAGTGTTAAAGGTGGCCCCCAGTAAAAACAATTTACCCTTCAGAGATGCCGGTATGGCATTTTAAAAGTGTATGACGGGCATGACCTCAGAGCATCTAGGTAATACATTAATTTCTAGAGGTAACATAAGTGGCATAGCAACAAGAAGCTCGCAGCAATTGAATATTCCATTATTTAAAACTAAAACAGGGCAGAAATCTTTTTCCTATAGAATTGTTAATATGGAATAATTTTCCATTTGAAATTAAGCTTAGCCAATGTTTACATAATTTTACGTGCAATTTAAGAAAGTATCTTTTAAAAGACTTTTAACGATGAGCTACCCTGTCACCAGTTTTAGCTACAGTCTCAGTCAAAATTGCGGGGACACTTTTGTGTCTCCCTGTTCCCTCAATGTTAGTGTACAAGATTTGGTGACTGTTATGTCACAGACCTAAAAGTTCCTCTATTTTGTGTGTATTATAAAGCTGCATACTGAAGTGGTCTCGGACTATTGTTGAGCTAAAAATGAAGTTGTTTCCAGAGTCTTAGCACCTGCACGTTCTAGGTAGCATTTCAATCGTACAACGCATAGACGTCAACGCATATCTCACCACTCTTATCTTGGGCACAAACATTCGGAAGCAAGGCTTCATTATACCAAATTTTGAATACCTGTCCATTGGACACGGATATTGGAGACGGAAGATGGTTAAACAGAAGTTCCGTCGAGTTAACATCTATACCCTTGATCTTATACGAGTATTTTGTACACTTGCCATCTTGTCTGTATTCTGCTAACGCGAGAACACTTTTGTTCTCGTATGTTATTACAGTAGATAGTGTTTGATCATGAAAAGCGTGGTGTGTGCAGCCCCAAAAGGTTGCGGGTAAGTATTGTGTACACTTTAATGATCCTCTTTGGTGAACAAGTTTAAACGTGTGGATGAGTCCCGGTTTGGTGACGCGAAAACTTCCATGCGAGTCTTTAGCTTCGTAGCAGACTGATTCATAGTTAATCTTTTTCCAGTCTGAAAGGAAATGTAAAAAAAAATTGAAAAAGGTACAATTTTGTAGTATGAATTTATTATTTTCTTTTTTAAATCGCATGGTAAATCAGTCATGTTGCCGACAAGGTGCGATTCATACATTTCATAAACAGCTATTTCGAGAAAGGTTGTCGCAAAAACTGTGCACGCGAAAGGTAATAAGGGATATGATCAATGACTTGTTCCTGACACTGTAGCTGTCGAACCTACTTTTGTTGCTTTCCTTTAGCACTTGCAAACATACGTCCATGGCCTCTCGTGCCATTCTTTGAAATTTCTTTTCAAAACAGTGAACTAAAAACCACCCACAATACCTTTCGGGATTGTCGAGTGCACTTTTTCCGAACGGCTGTACACATATATATGCTTGCCCGGTAAAATCTTCAGTATGAAATTATAATTAAGAACTCTATAATTTAAAATAATAATAATAACGATGAAGTGTAAGACTTTACGTATACCAATGGCGGAAGAAGTCAAAAGGTTAGCACTGCGCACGCTTGAATAAGCGCCATCTTGGCGAGAAAAAGGCTGTCATCATTCTACTACGAGTCAGTTTTAGCGAGAATGTCAGAGTGACGAAAATAAATTAACAACGGTTAGGAGTTCTGACGTGATACAACTCGCTTTGACTCTGAAGATGACTACCGCACAGGTTGTTGAAACGTCAGTCACTGTCAACAACAGTCCAAAAAAGAAATGAACTAGACCGTTGCTTTCAGACTTGAAAACATGTACCCTCTAAATTACCTTTGCATCCATAAAGCTCTACTCTCATTGAAATGTTGCCTTGCCAACCAGTTGGAAGAAAACGGATGTAACGCGCCTTGAATGGCGTACTCAAGCTATGAAGAACTACGGTATCACGATCATCATTCCCTGTAAAGATCTAACGGGAGGAAATAAACAGATTATTAAGAGTACATAATATTCACTGTACAACGTACACTTGTCTTGACTCAGGACCTAACCCTGAGTTGCATGGCAACTCGTAGTGCGTGTGGGTTTGGGGGAGGTTTCCAATCGAAAACGGACTATACAGGAATGCTTTGCTGGCCGGCTAAAGGTATTTTTAAAAGTATAGGGATCTCAGGAGTTGAAGAATAGGAAAATGGTAAGAATAATTCCAATGTGGGCATTTTCAAGGGTCTTGCGAAGTATCCTGTGAGACCCTTAACTGATGATGTACTCCTGAATAATTTCAAGAAGTTTCTCAAAGAGAAAAGCGAATTAAAGATGCTCGGTAGGTAAAGGGGAGGGTAGGGGAGGATTAGGGGTTTGAGCACATGGTTACCGTATTTATCCGATTAACCGCCCTGAGCGCTTATTAAATTTTTGGACCTTGAGAGTGGGCGCTTATTCAAGGTGGGCACTTATTCGAGGCCGGGCGCTTATTAAATTTTCAACATTTTCAGCAAATGTAGTATGTTTATTTTGCAACAAAACAATAAATGCTAATAACAAAACGCGCAGATTTAACGAAGCAAGGTTTCCGTAAAATACTTTGAAGAAAACTCCGTCTTCGGGGAAGTTTCTTATCAGTACTTATTCAGTTTTGGGCGGGCTGGGGTGGGGGTGGGCGCTTATTTGAGTTTGAGTGGGAGTGGGAGAGACGTGGGGTGGGGTGGGCGCTTATTAACTTTTTCGGCCTTTAGGGTGGGCGTTTATTCAGCGTGGGCGCTAATTCAAGGTTGGGCGCTTATTCGAATAAATACGGTAAGTGGCAGAGCATATGACTCGGCTCCGGAGCATTGAGCATCTCTAATCAGGCCTCTTTGTTAGGTTTATATATTTTTTTACTCATGCCTTATATGTAGTTTGTCCTGGTTCTCTGTAGTGCGTGAAATTCAAAGTCTCATTACTGTACTGCAACATGTATTCCGTAACCCATTCATCCTTGTCATGTCTGCCTTGCGTTGCCACTGCTGTTACGGTAGCGTACAGGCCCCCAAGATCAATTTGAAGCCATGGATTTTTATCGGTTGTTTTAGCTGACCAGGCTCCCCCTTTGCCTCCGTCTGCCGTATAGTAAAGTCTGCTTTGGTTTGCTTTGTGATTGCCATTCAGCTCTGACGAGGCACTGATTTGATCATCGCTAATACGATTGTTTTCCATTCCCAGATCATCTGCACATTCCAAATTTATCAATTAAATTCGTGTACAGTAAATTTTGGATTGGATTTGGATTTCGGGTACTGGATTCTGGATTCTGGATTCTTGTCAGTGGAATTTGGATTCGGGATTCCAATCGTTAGTGGGATTCCGGTTTCGTTGAGCCTTAATTCCAAAGCTCAGGATTCCACAAGCAAAACATATACCGGAATCCGTAATCCAGATTTCCTTACATGGGGCGTTGAAATATAATTTTAATGGGCGTAACAATTTGTGGGCTGATAGAGTAGGTTTACTTAAAATTGAAGGCAAGGCTGATCAGACAGCTAAGGGTTGGTAATTTACATTGATTTATTTGCCCAATTTTTCGACTAGACAAAACTAGTCTTCATCAGGGGCTAGAAAAGCTAAAATAAAGTATTACAGTAGTAGCAACGCACTACATTGTAAAGCTCTATACTATCTAATCCATTTTGTGGTTCCCACTCCCACCTAAGGGTTACTTCTTCTTTCTAGGATAGGTGTTTTCCACGAGAGTTAGTTATGACCCTATTCAGGAGGAAACAATTGGAAGTTAATCTATTTTTAAAGGCCTAAAACAAGGCAAGCATTGACTGTATTTGTTTTACTTTGCGTTTTTTGTTTGGACATGAATTAGGAAAGGCGTAATTATTGCCACACTCTCCCCTTCCTCAAGCAGCAGTTGGTCAGTGTTTTGATAACCGGAGTGAAATTGCAAATTTTACCTTTGCACCCATAGATTTCCACCCTCATGGATATGTGATGGTGCCAGGCTACTGGTAGAAAACGGATGTAGCGTGCCCTGATGGCATGACTGAGTTTATGGTAGACCACAGTGTCCTGGTCTGTGTTTCCAACAAACTCCTAACAAAATTTAAAAAAAAAGAAGACAAAATTGCTGAAAAACATCTCTTAATGAATACGATGCTTATTAATAAAAATTACTGAATACAAAAAGAGCGTGGAGACGTGGTGCTGGGCGATTAACAAACAAACTTTAAGACGGTGAGGCTAATACCTTTACCCTATAATATACCATTTTTGACAGAAAGGGTACCCCTTTCGAATACCCTCTTATTGAGAAATGGTACCCCTTTCACATACCTTGTTTAGCACTTTGCATCTCTTTTAACTGTTAAATAATCCACTGGCTTTTAAATATGTATAAATCACAAAACCAGAAAGTTTCCTCGACTTTTCCAAAACCATAAAGTGCATCCATTAGCCCTTCTGGGTCCTTTTACAGACCACAAAAACATATTTCCCTTCCCTTTTATATACTTCAACTAGTGAAATCACTACCCTTTTATATACCTGAAAACTAAGAAAGGTATCCCCGTATGGGCCATTATAGGAAGTACCCGTCCCCTCCGAAATTCAAGCCTTGCCGTTGCGTCGTTTTCTTAGAAAAGACACTTTGCTCCACCTTGTCTATCTCAGGTCCCTCTCCCTATACTAGTTGTTCAAACGGTGGATAACAGTTTCCACTGGGAAAATATGTCACTGGGGTCAGCCCAATTAGCTTTCCTAATAGCAGAGCTCTTGCGCGCGAAGCGCGCGCAGCGGAGCACCATTGGTAAGAAAATGTGGTAATCTACCCAGCCGAGAAAATTATTGATAATCACGTGACCGTACACCGACCGCCCGAGAGACCGTCTGTCTGCACCATAGGCATACCAATGTAAAATAACTCAACTAACAGGTCTGGCAACCAAAATGCAACTCGAGGTTATTTTGGCGGGAAATCGCATAGCCACCCGCGTCTTGTAAAACAGAGGCAGATAAAGAGTCAATAAAGACGAAAACGGAAAGCGCAAATTGTATCTGTATCCGTGTTGTCTAAAGCGTTAAGCTTAGATTAATTGTCATGTCCACAAATTTGGAATATAGAGCAACAGAATGAAAGAGAAAAGAGAGAGTAGGCGGCAGGCCAGCGAAACTCAATGAGAAAAAGGGTGACAGAGATCTAGAGCGAGAGATAAACAACAAAGGAGACATTTTTTGTTGGAAGAACAAAATGGAAATTCCGTAACGGCGGTGAAAAAATGAGAAATGCCGCTTCGTAGTTCCAAATACTCTCACTTTCAAAATGAGGCTAAGTGTAAAAATGAGTTTTATTTGCATAAGGATAAAAAATCATTTTCATATCAATGGCTTTGCACTTAGCCTCGCTTTAAAACAGAGGCTTGGGGCAACTCGGAAATGGCCTGTTGCTATCCTTTTAAAATGACGAAAAACGTGCAAGGTTTGGAGGTAGGTAGGTAGGTAGGTAGGTAGTTGGGCAGGGAGGTAGGTAGGTAGGTAGGTAGGTGGGTAGGTAGGTAGGTAGGTAGGTAGGTAGGTAGGTAGGTAGGTAGACAGGTAGGTAGGTAGGTAACACTTAATTTAAAAATTTCATATGTGTACGTCTAGGATGGACACCATCTTACCCTTATTTTGCTGGCATGTTCATCCATGAAATATTGAAAACTGACGCCATCTCCGCTATACTGCACTTTGTATTTCGTTACCCACTGACGGTAGTCATTTCTGCCTTGTGTTGCTAGGGCAGTGACCTTGGTGTGCGGATTAACCAAGTCGACTTGAAGCCACTGAGAAACGTTATTATCTTTTGCTGACCATGATCCACCTTTGCCTGGAACAGCTTTAAGGTTGAGCCTTCCCTGAGAGGGAGCGTGATTTTCATCCAGCTGCGAAGAAGCACTAATTTGCCTATCAGAGATGGCACCGCTTTCTACACCGAGAGCATCATGGCATTCTGGGATATAATTAAACTGATCAATATCAAACAAACAGGGTAAACCATTTTGTCGGGTTCGTGAGACTTCTTTTATGTGGCAAATTCTTTTGAGGTATTTAGCTAGTTTAGGTGGCGAGAAGAAGGCTGACACCTCATAACGTTTGTGATCTCCGAAAAGAAAGCTTAAATAACGAAGACGACGACCATGGGCAGGGAAAACGTCGCTAAAAAAGTCAATTTACGTCCTTTTAAACTTTATAGCGTCTATTTGCACCCGCTCAATTTGTCAAATGCAGGCAATTTTTCCTGGAATTGAATTCCTAAGGACTTTATCCAGTTTCAAAACGAAGAAAGGAAAATTCGTCGTCGTAACTTTACGTCCTCCATAAAAAGTCGCATTAGGGGGTTTCACGTCGTAGTCGTGCGCGTGCAGTAAACGTCAAAGAAATGTATTAAAAAGTGTGATGCACGTGCAAAGCTGTTGTTTTGCTCATAAAAACAATTGTTTTTTTGACGTTGTCGTTTTCGCCGTCATCGTGGTTGCTTAAGCTCCCTAATAACGTACGGTAAATAGAAAGATGCATGTTACACAAAGCCTTGTTACAAGTAATCTGATGAGCGACCTCCAGTGATATTCACTGACCTTTACACGGTGCAATAACAATCCACTCACAACGGAATGATCCATGTTCATTCACACATTTCTCGTTGGCTGAACAGTTATTCAAGCTGGAGGACACACATTCGTCAACGTCTGAACAACACGCAAAAATATGTAAATGGTGACGCTCTGCGAGGGTTACTTTTTAAACAAAACATTCGTTCGTTCTCTAAACTGCGTAGGAACTAAAAATGATGCCAAAAATTTATACCCAAAAGTAATAACGTTGTGAGTCTGGGAGTAGTTATAATGAATAATAAAAAGGTTATTGAATCACTCAACATAGTATGTTTAATGCACCTTTCCACTGTTTTGAAAAGGTTTTTATTTTCAACAAATGGATCGAAGGAGCTGGTCAAGGAAGACAGGTGGAACAGGAGGTCGTTATTACGAATAAAAACCCACTGTTCCATTTCAGAGGCCACAATAATGACTTGCTGGTTCTAAAACAATGGAAAGGTTCACTAACCACCAGGCGTTTACGTCACAGATGGGAACTTCTTGCTCCCTACACTCATCAATGTCTTTAAATAGATTGCATTCTAGGAGATTATTCTGGAAACATCTCAATAAAGTTTACATTTTTGTTTACATTTATGCAAGCTTGTGGTCACCGTGGGGAAAGATCACGAAACAAGAAGAGAGGAAGACGGGAAGATTTATGTATCAGCAAGAGGCATGTATACACCAAGAATAAGGCTGGGAGATTAGCAGAGAACCGCCAGTGACGTACCAAGATATCGTTCATACCGCCACAGTCTGTGTTTTGGGTTTGGCAGGACTGTTAAGGTGATTAGAACCTTGATGGAGACCGAGTGTCTTGTTATCATTTTAGCTTCTTTTATGACACTTAAAGGGATACAGTGAGCTATGGGACCGGACTGACCAGGACACTACTTTCGCCAGTTCGAAAAGCGTTTATTACCTCAACCCGAAATCAAATGTACCCTTTGGATGCATCAAGAAATCCGCTTTAATCTTGTCTAGTGTTTCATTCGATCCTCGATCGTTTACAGAAAACTTTTTTTGAGCAAATTTTAACTCATCCTATGACATTATTTTATCATATTATTTGGTTAAAAACAGTACCCAAAGGAACATGAAGAGAACTGGTGAGAAACGTGTAGGCGCCAAGCGGGCGAAATCGCCTTCATTTACCAAAATAACAAAAGAAATGAATCAATAACATTGGCGAGCAAATAATCGTTTTATATATTTGGAAAATCGATGGAAAAGGTTACTTATGTTTGGAAAATCAAGCTTTCTCGACCTTGAACCTTCGACAATGATTCATGCAGACTCATTTCTCACCTCTACTAATGATCGAAGTTTAGAAGTATTTGTCGATGTTTGGCTTTCCCTGGACAAATCCATCGGTGAATATTCTTAACGGTATATTGAAAAATGAGTGCTCTGATATGGCTTAGGGTCTATAATCAAGATTTCGGCTTGTAACTAGTTCAACTTCATAAGGTTTGTTTGGAGTATTCCGGATACGCTTCTTCTCACTTTCTGTTTAATATATATATATATATATATTTTTTTTTTTTTCCTTTTCTTTCTATAATATTTATTCTATGTGGCAAATGTAAAACAAAATAATAAATAAAATAAAAGATGTACCTGCATGTCCGGTCCATTAACAGTGTTTATGGACCACCTCTCGGTTTATAACCTACCATATGCACAGTTGTCACCCTTCCAACCTGGTTGGCAAAGACATCGATATCGCTTCTTGGTAAATCCTGATTGACAGGTACCACCGTTTTGACAAGGATAATTGCTACAAGCATTCTTAAAGAAGAAAAAGAAAAAAGAAAAACAGCTAATTAAAACTTACTTTAAATCCTTTAAGCACATCTCCTCTCTTTGTTCTATTCCTACTATCTAATTGCAGAACGTACCCTTCTCTTCGTATGAGCGCCTACCCGTATTAGCCGCTTGCCTTGCCCCTATCTGTAACTTTTACGAAGAAAAATGAAGAAAAACGTTACATAGACCTTCAGTCCCTGAAAAGCTTACGAGCGAAATGTCAAAGATAAAACTGTCAAAATATCGAAATAAAACCCTTGGTTACTTGTGTCTGAATCACTGACCAGCAGCCACATATTTAATCACCGTTGAGTGGTGTCACTAGTAAATACTTACTTGTGTTCCACGATAGAGGTAATTTTCTACATGTACCAATTCCCCGTTGAGCATTTCATGTGTCGCGTTGTTCAGTTCACAATTGTATCTTCGGTTTCCATTTGGCTTGTTGTCTAGATTAACACTAACGCAATTGTGTTCCAAAAGACAAAGCCGCTTACATTCATCCACATTCTGGACTTCAACAATGTTTATGGTATGATTCACTAGACGTCTGTTAGCGAAGTTAAGAAAAGCTGAGAACGCTAGTTGACGACATGACCCTAAAAGGATTAAACCAGTAAACATTTGACGAGACTTGGTAAACAGCCCGTAAAGGTGATGGTCCAGCTTTTAGAATAAAACTCGTTTGCTGAAGGAAATAATGTGCAGTTTTGAGTATTCCGGGGGAATCAAAAGTCGTATAATTATTTGTCCAAACCGAAATTAGCGAACATTGATGTGTCGTTTATCAGCTGCCGGCAGTTACTAAAGTCGGTAACTTTCGGTCACGACAAGAACTGATTACAAACAAAACTCAGTGTTGAAAAGGTACTAAAAATAAAATAAACAATAAATAAAAGATAGAAATAAATAAAAAAGGACTGTACATTTATCAATTCAGTGAACTTTTAACTGAACCAAGATCAGAAGGATGTGTGCTATAAAACGTAATTGTTTCGTTCCGGAGATTTATACATGTATGTCTTCGACCTCTCGGCAGACTCTTTTTAGCGCCACTTACCCATACCTGAAAAAGCAAAGTTTTGTTTCAAACAAAGTGATAAGACGAGGCCAAGAACATAAATCGAAAATTGCGGAAAACTCATATCTTCTTGGACAAACAAACGTAAACTCCTGCAGTCAGGAAACGTCCAATCTCAAGGAGTAAATGAGTCTAATCTTCCCTTTGGCCGCAATAATTATTTAAAATTAGGCGGATTAGGCTCACCCATCAGAGGCAAACAACAAGATGATTGAAACTTTATAATTTAATGTTAGTTTTAATAACCAATAAACAGCTGAGATGAGTTTTCACCGGCTATGTTCAGCAGCTGTTAACCTCAGCCATTTTAATATATCAAAACCAATGAGCATAACGACTCAGTAGACGTACATTTTCTTTTCCCTTTTTATGAAAAACGATGCGAGCGAATTCAGAACTTGAACCCTGTCTATTCCATAATTGTTATTAAGGAAGACATAGTTATAAAAAGGACCAAAGATCAGACTAAAACGTTGATGCATATACGACTCCCTGAACATGCAGTTTCTTATGCAACCTGGTAATAGCCAATAGAAGAAGCGATCGCACCCCGAAACAGTCCTATCCGTATAGTACAAGTAAATGTTTGTGATTATCTATATCATGGTTTAGTTTCGTCTTTATTCCCTTTGCATTATTTGCGTAATATATATATAAATGGCCCTGAACCACTGTGATGAAAATATTAATAATTTAAACTAAGGCTTAAATTTTAGCTCAATTCCCAGAACGAAATTTTTAAAAGACGAGGCCGGGAAAAGGTTCTAAGTTTTATTACTTTCAATGGCGTACATTTTGTTGCTTTATTACTTTATTTTATTGTTTTGGCAAACATGAAAACTAAGTAGTTAATCTTAGTACTTCATCTTTAGACAGTTGAAATTAAGACTTTCGTTAAAAATAACTTTGTCAAACAATTTTAAGCCAAGGTGTTGTACGTCTGTAACTCCTGCATTGTCACGACAAAACATCAATATGGCAGAGCCCAGTTTGATTATGTCTGTCTGTTCCTAAATGTGAAAAGCGCCACCAAGGGGTAGAGATATTAGAAAACCGAGTGACATAAAGAAAAAAAAAAACAAAACAAAACGGGCTTCTAGAATCGTGTTATTAATTAACTAAGCATATAGCATTAAATATTTATTCCCCCAGCTAAAAACCCTGAAACACTTACATGTTGACTATGGTTTACTGTCATCGGCGTCCGTCTCACATTTGAATTAGCTCTTTTTACCGAATTTCAGTTAGAACTAATTGATTTCACCTTAATTTAAAATTTCATTGATATTGCATAATAATCATTATTGAATTTGCACGCCGAGCGTTTTTTCGAGTTTGGTGTAATATCGAGGTGTCAAACACGGATCGCCGTTAACACTCTGGGCGTTTGCACAAAGTTTTCACGTAATGTTTATGTAAAGACCATCGCATCATTGCGATGAAGGTATTCTTACGGAACACAAATTAATTTTTGTTTTTTCAACATCTAGGATACCCTGGTGAACTTCAAGGGTAAAACGTAAATTTATTTAATTTTACAGCGCACAAACTCAGTGTGGTAATACCTGAGCCCTCTCAAGTCAAAATATGTCTCCGAAATAACTGCTGTTAGTACGGGTGGCAAGTATTGGCAATGACTAAAACTTGAAAAAAAAAAATGCGCCAAGTTTCCAAGTTTTAATTTACATTGCCTGCAGAAATCACCCAAAAAGTATTATGGTTAAGTATTATGGTGCTTCTGGATAAAATTTTCGTGATATCGTCTTCGTAATTCTACAGTAGCATTTTGTGTATGAATGCAGCAAGAAATAAGTTAAGCACGCTATTGACTTAAAACGGCACAATCCTCGTGGCAAAGCCACCTTAACCCTTTAGGTTCCAAGCATGACCAACTTCAGTTTTCTCCTAACAACATCAGCAGGTCATCAAGAGTTAAGGTTATGAGAATTACTAAATTGAATACCAAAGGGAGAATGCTTTGATCTTAAACCAAACTCTCTCAGCTACTCTTGAAAGAAATACATGGAGATCAATTTGGAGAATTTGTATGTGGATATTGGAGCTTAAAGGTGAATGTAATGTTCCTTCTTTTTCAGCGAAGACAGTAAAAGGCTCTCGTCAGTGGTGTATGAGCACCTCCAGGACTCACGTTAATAAACACGCATTTTGGTTCCAAAAAACACTTCACCCTGCAGCCCCCTTCATTGAGTACCTTTTCAGTTCTAATCACGTGATCTGGAAGCACTCTGTCTGGTATGGGTTCCTTGAATACTATGATACGGTTGTATTCTATCGACAAAACTGACATAAAAAGTAAAACATAGACCATGAGCCCATCGCGACAAATTCTCTCTAGAAAATTGCCAAATTATATTACAACGAATTTTACACCTCAGCCATCCAAATGCTGTATCGTCATATATCTCTGCAGCTGCATGTTGTAAATTTATGTGGTTATTTTGTCTTCAATAAAACATTATAGCTCTGCAGTTTTTTTCTCTAAAGAATGAAGATTTATAAAGGCCTTCATATTGTTTTCTTCTCATTTGAAAGAACTTAAACACATATCGATAGAATCTTAACTTCTTTTTTAGAAATTGCTTTCAGTGGTAATACTATATTATAATTAGTAAATTTGAATGAATGAAAAACTGTCTTCCTGTTTGCAACAACTAGTACTTATTTTCTGCGAGGAAAAGCCTGAACATTTTACTCTTAAAAACG